TTAAATTGATCTCTCGAGCTAGTGGCTGCGATTTTTTCCGGAGGAGACACAGGGTTTGAAGTTCTTGTGGGGAGTTCATCACTTTTTTAGCTTAATGGGGAAGATTGTTCTGCTTAAATTGATCTCTCGAGCTAGTGGCTGCGATTTTTTCCAGAGGAAGTACAGGGTTTTGGAATTTTTGTAAGGAGTTCTTCACTTTTTCAGCCGGTTCTCCGGCTGTCCAGATTTGTAACAGGTGGCAAGTGCATTAGCCGTCTGCATCCTCCACCGGAGGTCGCACAGGACGCGGTCGCTCAATCCTTCCCGTAAATCTCTTAACTCATCTCTGATTTGGCAGAGATTAAAAACCTCGAAAATCATGAAATTACCCAACCCTGGTACGAACTATGAACAGATAAATAGTAAACGAAGTACGATATGCCACATGTAGCATAAAGGAATGTAAAAATTATGTTTTATGTAGAGGAGTGACAAAATGAAAATAATTACAACAAATAAAAAAATATGAAGAAAATGATCTAACAATCAGGAAGCTAAAAATTGGCTGACCAATATGGCCGTCCTACCTCCCTTCCTTTCTAACGCGCGGTCCCCCTCCCATGGAAGATTGGACTTTGGGCTGCTTCCACGTTTTCATATATCCATGTAGACATATACTCTCACGTGCGATAGCGATTCTAAAGACTGTAAAGTTTAAGACATAACCTAACCTAACCTAGTCATTCTACTTTTACATTTCTAAAAAAATATCACCGGCGATCAATGTATGACGTTTTGATATTACGATGGCCGCCCAGTCGCGAAAAATTCTGAATGCGATCACAAAACGAATTAACAAATCGCCGTTGTTTAATAATGCCACTAGTGCGATTGGAAATGCTACCGAAAGGGCGCAAGAAAAATTAACAACTATGCAAAGTATTGCTTGTAAAAAGTATGATACAATTGTGAAGGTAATGACGTGGGTATTAAGACATCTAATTAGGTTTTTATAATTCCTTAATGTCGCATTATGCATATTCTTTTGAGCATTTTATAAATACCTTTAATTCGTAATTTAAAGTCTTTTATCTCACAGCATGTGAACGGAGCAACGATAATACAAGATATAAATGTTGCTGCCCTGCAGCCGGCAGCACCTCTGCCAAAGCATCTTGTCAATTGGTGGCATTGGTACCAACAATTGACAGGCCTCGATACCATTGAAGTAGCTAAACAGCAGGTAATCAAAGTTCAAGATAACCTTTTCAAATGTCAAGACCAACGGAGAAGTATTACAAGGCAAGCTGTCATGGTAAATGAGAAGTTAAAGGAAATTTATGCGGAGCTTATTCAAACTAAAAGAGATGATCCAAAGTATGTGCAATTGACTATAATGGAAAACAAAGGACTACAGGAACAAGCACGATTACACGGGGAATTGAATTTACTGGAAATTGAAGAAAGAGATCATTTCACTCAGTTAACAACAGCTATTAAAGAATATCATGACAGTCAAGCTATGAATGCTCAAAAATATAAGTATTTATCTATTCTTGCTTCGGCTCTGTTAGCACTGGTATCATTAGCTGGTTCAATGGTATATAATAACAGAAGAATTGTCGATGTTCGCAATGTTATTACAGAAGCACAGAAAAGTAATGAAAAAAGTTTCAGAGATTACTTCTCTTCGTTGGAAAATGCTACAAATCAGAAGTTTAGAGAAGTTATGACGCTCCTAGAAAAACAAACTGAAGGGGTAAAAGCAATCAAATCAATATACAACACTGAAAAAATACATAAGCCGGTAGAACAGGATGTAAAGAGTGCATCTATCGACAGTATAAAAACTGTTGCATCATATGGAAGTATAGTGATTATTGCTTGGTTTATCTTTCAACGATTAACAGGTAATTAAACAGAATGTACATATGAATTCATTAATACAAGCTTTGTATAGTATAATGGGTTGTTATGATTTTGTACCTAATGAACATACAGAGGTATATGTTACATACAATTGATCACTCAATTGCATTTTTATGTACAGCTGACTTTGTAAATTATTTTAAATAAAAATTGTACCAGAATATTGTATGCTGCTATTGGTTTTGTAACTACATAATTTATAAGAAAACTCAAGAACCAGATATCTCCATGGTATTTTAATAAACTAGGGAAAACGACATATAACCATGGCGCAGCATACAATAGATTTTATTAGTTCATTACATGCTAAACATTCATTAATTAAATAATGATATGGTATTAACTCAAAATCTAATGTCGTATATAATGCAGAATTATTTTAGACTTTAAAAATAATTGATTTTCAAAAGTCACATTAAAGGAATTTATGAATCCCATGGTTTCCATTCCATTCCGTCTGGGGTTTTCCTTTCCACTTTAGTTTTCCCCACTTCTTCCCAGGTTGTACTTAAGACCGTTCCACCAGATTCTTGCTGCATATATAACAATAGGAAACAATGTAATTTCTTATAAACAATATGAATAACTCATTCTAAAGATTACTTACATATGATTTAATCATTGCGCGTTTAACATCATCAGTACCATTATCGTAAACACGTTTGAATAGAGCAATGACCGCATCATTTCCCTGCGATGATACCTGTTCCTCTTCTGTTGTTATTTCCTTTTCTATTTTATCCCAATCACAAGTTTTTTTACTAGAACTGGGATATTTTGGTGGTTGACCAGTTGATTGAAGAAATTCTGCAACAATATAATAATGCGTACAAAAAGGTAAAGATATCCTTAATATATAGCTGTATATCTGTTTGTTCAAAAGCTTTCCACAGAAACAGTTACAAACAGGACTTAGGAAATCCCAGCATATAAAAATTCTTAATATCTGTATTTTTTTCCTTAGTCTACATTTTGTTAACACCTTGATCGCTCACTATAAATCAGTTTCCAGCAGGGCTCAAAATCACATTCTGTTATGCTTTAGTTGTGGGTGATAAGACCCTTGCGGAAATATTGCTGTCATTTAGATTTGGGCGAGGTGGTGATCAACATGTTAATTCATAATTTCTTATAAACATACGTATTAGAGGTGGCTGCTCAACTGCTGGTGCAACGGCTGCCCCTTCTAGACTGTTCCATCTGTGTCCATCACATTTTTTCAGTTTTATTTCTATTTTAGATGGTAATACTTTATGCGTGCAACTGTCTGGTACCACTTTATGGGCTAAATCTATTTCCAAACTATAATCATTACCAGATGGTAATTTTGCAGATACACTTAGCTGAAAAAGATATCCATTCATTTAGGCTATTTAAAGAATTTAAGTCTGAGTACTAAAATAGTATACAATAGGCAATTGGAAATATTGAATATCATGCACATGTAACTTACAGTTGTTTCACCATAAACAATTTTCACATCGTCAGCATTTTTTGCCAGGATCGCAATAATTACATGAGTTTCAGTTTGATACCACTCATGCCTTATTTTCGGAATTGGCATCTACAAATTCAGGGTTATGTGTGAATCCTTCAATATTATTTACAATAGGATTATTCATGTATAATACTTACCTGATCATTTGATACCTCCGATATCGTATCTCCACTAGCCATGCCCGTATAATGTTTTCGTATTGGTATTTTACACAAAGATAATCCGTTTTATTTTACGTTTACTATTCTGATTTTCGGACTTGTTTAACTTACGCAGAAATGCCAGTACGCTCGCGTCATCTGTCGGTGGTTGTTTTAATCAAGGACATGTCACGTGACTTCTAATTTTAGCAGCGGGAGTTTCAAATTGCCTTAATTCCACCTGGAATAGTTTAAAAATGATCTTACGTAACCCAATAAATATTTTTCGATACTTTAAGTAACTACTAGTTTTTATAAAGGTTCTATAAAAGTCATGAGTTTATGTTGAAGTTTTATAAGATTACTAATTGGTTGCAAAGTTCTATAGAGGAAATGTAAAATTACTAAGAAGCCAATAGCTTTAAGTTTTACAAAACAGCGACAGAAACATTTCCATTAGCAACTTTAAATCACATACAGTAACGGTTACAACCTTTACACATTTATAAAATAAAAATTGTTTACTGGAAAACGAATTATGAAACTTCGTTCATAAAGAATAGGTTTAATAAGATTTAATGTTGATTGCTTTTCTATTCTTCCTCAAAGACGGAGAAAGTTTCTCCTGTATTCGGTATTCCATAACATTAGGTTATCTGTATATACACTACCTAAACCTATTACCGACGTTCGTTTTTATATTGACAGCTGTGTCGAATTATATTGGGTACTGTACCAAATGACATATTCCACCTGTCGTTTTCATACAATAATTACAAAGAAATCGAGGTAAAACTCCAGAAATCTTCTGGATTCGTGCTTTCTGGGGCCCTAATTGACTGCAGAGGGACCCCCTGCGCCATCTGTGATTTCCTGGTCAATTCAATTTTCACTCTGAGACCTCGTATTCTCATCGTTTTAGCATAGAAGCGCATACAACACTTTTTTTGCCTTTATCCCGTTCAAATGCGAGTTTACCAATTACCAGAGTGTTCTAAATTGTCGTAAAATTGTCCTGACCCTTTCGATTCTCATATCAGAGCCCTCGATAATTGCACATTGATCGAAATATGAGAGCTCGACGCCATTTTGGTTCTGGTCTGAGCTGAGTTAAAAGATTTTTTTTTAAATCCAAATTTTGAATGTGTCAGGACAATTCTTAGATGATCAGGAGTGATGTGTCAAAGTTTTGGACAGTTTGGTCTAATACCCTTAAAAAAAAAAGTGTTGTATTCGAGTCGACTGATTTGAAGACGGTTTCACTTCACCTTAACTCATTTTTGACTATGGAAACACGTGTATATGTATGGTCATATGTACCGGCAAAAATATTATAAATTGATTTCAAAGATGTATAAAACAATAAATGTAATTATTAATTGAGCTAAAGATACGTACAAGATTATTTCTAAAACCAGATTCGACGGGCAGTATTTAAGTGGTTTATTCTCTCTTGTTTAAACCATGTATCTACATAGAAGTCTTTTTTTCTTAATAGAGCGTAGCGATTTTATTAACGATCCTGTATCTCTTATATTGAACTGATAATGCATTATTCATTCAGCACACTTTCCTTTACCAAGAACTTTTTATCCTCATTTTTAATCGTTTGTACTACATTCTTTACGTATATGCAATTCCATTACAGTATACAAGAACAAAACAGACAATACAGAAACCGATGCAACAGATGATTCAACATTTGTTCCTCGAATTATTTACAACTAATCCATTGATATTCATAAGCGGGAGGACCGTTATAAAGAATAAATCTTTTGTTGGCAAAAATTAACAGATATGGCAAAACCTGTACATTTGTGTGAATGTTTGTATACGGTTTTAGTTGAATTTCAGACAGAAATGCTCAGAGGGGATTATTTAAACGACAGGGATGTTTATTTTAATATGTCTGCAAAAGGTAATGAGCGGTAACGTCGGAAAATAATGAAAATATAGACACATATGTGTACATGTGCGTCCAGAGTAAATACAAAAACGGGCAGCCTTGTTCATGTTTTTTTTTTTAATCTACAGTAATAAAAACAATCAACCCTAGTAGCATAGAATAATGTCTAAGTATTTCCTTATAATCTTTGCTAAATATCTCAAGCGACAGATTCTTTAATATTTCTTGCAGATTTCATTCGAAGATATCCGAAATATTTATTGAAAATCTCAATGACATATTTAGTTTCAATAATTTATACACATATATAGNAGCCAATGAGAACACTAGAGAAATTTCCATAAATGGCCGTCGCAAAGTCGCTAAGAAATACACGATAATCATAGAAGATTTATGAACCATCCAGACTGTTATTATTTCACATCTTACAAATAGTAATAAATCAAATCGACAAAAATGGTAACACAAGTCGGCTGTGATTACATGTACTCCACACGTCCCATATCTGAGTCATATTTTAAACACTGCCATATTGCACGATCGAGATACAATTTTCCCAGAAGAATCCTTTGTATTACTCCTTACTAACGTGACAAGGAAACGTGGGGTCAGAATTTTCCAGAAGAACCCATAGAGTGAAAGCTACTTGTGCCGTTTCCTGCTTGACAGCTAGTAATTACCGGAAAAGAGTTAACAATTTTTTTTTCCTTGCATAAAATGAACATTCTCGTTAGGACGAGGCATTTGGACAAGATTTCGTAATTCGGTTCAGTTGCTCCGTGGACTCGATTGGGCTAGGCCACGGTCCGTTTGCACAGACTGATTGGGCACATTTAAATAATACGTGAGGCAACTTTTGACTACCCTCGACTCTCGCATAACAAATCGCAAGGTTACCCCTCTCGATATTATACATGCACCTTCTTCGAACAGTCACCCCTTATCCGATTATTCAAACTTACGTACACTTGGTAATAAAATTCGAAACACCTCGTGTTCTCTCGAAACTTTTCCAACCACGTGTCCCTAGTAGCTTAGAATAATTTCAAAATATTTCTTTGTAATCTTTGCTAAATATCTCAAGCGACAGATTTTTTAAGATTTCTTGTAGATTTCATTCGAAGATATCCGAAATATTTATTGAAAATCTCAATGACATATTTAGTTTCAATAATTTATACACATATATAGAAATTATACTTTTTGATTTATGAACACGTAATAAAGATACACTTTTTACTTCACAACTATTATCGGACACTTCATTTGGTATCAAAAAGACACAAGAAATTTTACTAATATTTTCGTTTCGCCATTTCATTATGGGAGCAAAACGTATGAGTTTAATTTAAGTATTTTTCAAACGTTTATAATGTATTCGGCGGATAACATTTAAAATATACTTGTATTAAAATGAAACGAAATGTTTTGTATATCTGGCGGATAAAATATTATGAAAACACGTGGAGCTAATATTATGTAAGTATTATAGGGATAATATTCTAAAGTAAACGTTTTGGAAATATTTCAAATGTCTGGTATATATTTACAAAATGTACGACATTCGTTAAATACATAGAAAAAATATAGGACAAATATTTTGTGCTACTGGGGAAGCGTCAGAGCTCAAGTTTCTCCAAGAATTCTCGATAATCGCGCCAGGGGATTACCTTCTTTAATTACATCGATCAAAGAGGAATTTATAGAAATTACGTGTCAGGGATTAAGCGATCCCGAATTTCTTGTACACTTGGATGTTTCGAGCCGAAGACTTCGAGCCTCCGACCGATAAGGATAAGCTCGGCTTGTCAGTGATTTCATAATTATTCGGTATGGCGATTTCAGAGACTGGTCTACAATTATTCTACCTCGTCAGATAACCTCTCGGACCCGGTTCCGGTTGGCTAATCGCACATACATGTCGCCAATCGTGTACAGGCCCATAGGTGCGAGAAGGTGATCATGTTTGCGGTGGTACTTTCAGTCGACTGTAAACTCTCGCACTGGATTTAACCGGATCGAAATTCAGTTTTAATCTCGACCTGGGAATGTTGCAGTGGCTCATTTTTCCACTTTCATTCCGTTTAATTCACAAATGATCAATTTAGACTTGCAAGTTTCGTGGGAAGCATTAAACTAGGTTCATGTATTCTAGATCATTTTTAATCTCGACCTGGGAATGTTACAATGGATCATTTTTTCAATTTCATTTCGTTTAATTTATAAATGATACATTTACAATTGTACGTTTCCTGGGAAGCATTAATGTTCATGTATTCTAGATCATTTTTAATCTCGACCTGGGAATACTGCAGTGGATCATTTTTCCACTTTCATTCCGTTCAATTCATGAATTATCAGTTTACAAGTGTACGTTTCCTGAGAAGCACTAACATCTGTTCATGTATTCTAGATTATTTTTAATCTCGACCTGGGAATGTTACAATGGATCATTTTTTCAATTTCATTCCGTTTCATTCACAAATGATACATTTACAATTGTACGTTTCCTGGGAAACATTAACATCTGTTCATGTATTCTAGATCATTTTTAATCTCGACCTGGGAATACTGTAGTGGATCATTTTTCCACTTTCATTCTATTCAATTCATGAATTATCATTGCAAATTTCCATTCCAAGTTTCAATTCAACAATTTACCATTGCAAATTTCCTGGGAAGCATTAACGTATGTTCATGTATTCTAGATCATTTTTAATCTCGACGTGGGAATACTGTAGTGGATCATTTTTCCACTTTCATTCCATTCAATTCATAAATTATCAATTTACAACTGCAAGTTTCCTGGGAAGCATTAACGTATGTTCATGTATTCTAGATCATTTTTAATCTCGACCTGGGTATACTGCAGTGGATCATTTTTCCACTTTCATTCCGTTTATTTCACAAATTATGAATTCACAATTGCAATTTTCCTGGGAAACATTAACATCTTTTCATACATTCTAGATTGCTCTAGTCCAAAATAGACGCAATAATGGAGCATTTAATGAAAAGATGTCGCAATAAGTATGCAACAAACTTCTAATTCCGTTTGATTTGGCCTGAGAATCGTCAATTTGATTTCGAAGTTTCCTCAGAATCGGTTTTGCGTCTCTCTGAGCATTTTAGAAATGTATAGGACAAAGAGGACACGAACGTGAATCATTTAATCGAGATATCGTAATGACTGCACTTTGCGATGGGTGATATTTTTTAAATGACTCTCGTTTCTATGTGAAAATCATCTATTC